CGAATGTTATTTATATTTTACTAATTTTCATTATTTTAAAACTAAAATTTAATTTCAAAAAGTACTGTTTTTATTAATCTTTAATATTATTAAAAAATTATATTATTTTCTTATTGATCTTTTTTAATTTTATCAATGTTAGTTATATTTGTGTAGTTTAATTTTTATTAATTATTGTTAGAAAGATTTGTTTTATCTTTAACTATTTTTTGTTAATTTATCTATAAAACTAGGTCTTTTAATAATTTTTATATTTATTAATAAATATGTGTTAATGTTTTATTTTTATTTACTTTTATTGATAAATATGTATTGATGTATTACCCCTTATTATTAATTATTATGTTTAATTTGTATTATTTTACTATTTATCTTATTTATAAAACATAATGATTTTTATACTTGATCAATGATGTAAATCATTTCATATATTGTATATGGGATACATAGAATCAAATCACACATTTGAAAAATGCCTCTATTGGTGTGGTGTGATTCAATCCACATAATTCGTCCATGCTACAGAACAACTCGAGCATGTGGTGTGGTGTGGTGTGGATTCATCCATGCCATAGTGGTGTGGTGTAGATGAATCCACACCACACAATATCTCATCTACATTAAAGAACATCCCCATCATCTCCGATTCTATGTCTGTCTCTCAATGACTCCAACTGGGGCCCCATCTTTGTTTCATCAATGCCTCTAATTCTGTGTCTGTCTTCGTCTCCGAGTCTATATCTGTCTCATTTGAAAGTTCCCAATGTGATTGTGTTCCCGATTTGAAAATTCTCTGAATTATTAGCGTTCATTTTTTCTAATGTATTAAGCAGACAAAACGCAAAACCAAAAAGTTGTAATCATTCAAAACCGGACGAAGAAGCTGGTGCAACCCAAGCTCACGATATTAAAAACTTAAAATTAACAGAAAGAACTATGAGAAAATAATATCTCTTTGTAATAGTTGATGAGGTTGAAAATTAAAGGAAAAAAATATAGATAATGATGAACCAAATATAGATAATCTTCTTGAACTACAAACTATTGTTTAAAAGAATACCAGACACTGTTTCCAAGGCTCTGTTTCAGAGGCATCTCTGGCTTCCTTAGAGATGAACGTGATCTCTGCCCAAAGACTCTCTGCTTAATACATTAGAAAAAATGAGCGTCAGTTCATAGAAATCGGGAATGCAATCACTGTTTTTTCATGCCTGCTTAATACATTAGAAAAAAAAAATTCAGAGAACTTCCAGATCACTGGATCAGGTACCCAATCTCTCCCTTTTCATGATTTAGCGTCTCCAAATTTCTGCTCACGGAGGAAAATTCACGAACCCGGATTATGGTTGTGAAGTTGTGATGTAGCGTCGGAGGACAATTCACAACCCAGAAAAGCCATTTCTGAAAAGTCTCTAAATGTTATTGCTTACAAAAAGTTAAAAAAAAAAAAACCCGTGATATGATAAAAAATTCTGATGCACAAGAGCAAACAAAACAGACTTCAGACGCCCATTTGAAAAGTGCAACTTTCTTAACTCCTAACTTGTAAACCTCCTTAGTGGAGCAACTTCCTTGGCTCCTAACTCGTAAGCCTCCTTAATGAAGCAATCACACTGAAATCTTTTCCTCCTGGGCACCTTTCTCCTGGGTCTTCTCCCACCGCATCAGCTCCTCCCCACCAAATCACCAATAGCCCCCATATATCATCCCTATTTCGGCGGTTCAGCTTTTCCTCTGCTCCACTGAAATGTGAGACAGTTCAAATGATAAAAGCGAGGTCATTACCCGTACACAACATTAGGCCCCCTTGGTCCTTGCAACTGCAATGCCTGCTACAACTACCTCAAATGATCCCCGCATTCCAGACTTTCTCAATCGGCCGATACGACGCAATTTCTTTCTCTTCTTCCGGTTGTTACTTCTACAACTACCTCCCAAATGGGAGCCTGAGTGTGCTCTTCCACGGCACAGGGAAGGGCAGAGCAAACTGGGAAGCACTGAAACAAGTGACACTGAATACCGGAGAACGCAGTTTCTAAGTATGTTTGAAATTGAAGTTGAATTGGAATATCTGAGAATGATTGGGTTAATAGTCTTTTTCATCTTTTCCATTAGAGGATGTTATGGATAGAGGATTTAGTCGATTTAGAAGCCTTAGGGGTACTTTAAGTCAATTTTCAAACAGTAAATATGGAATTAGTCAATTAACTAAACTATAGGGATACTTTAAGAAATTTACCCTAAAAACAATAATAATCCGAAGCTGAAAACAGATTGATAGTTATAAAAATAAAATGGTAAACATACGAATAAGCCGTATCCTTGGCAAACAAAAGTTAGAATTGTACCATCTGAGTTTGGAAGCCGATTTACGATTCAAATGGTGAAGAGTCAACATCCTCTATCTTGGTGTGATAGAGGAGGAAACTAGAATTCACATTGAATGGATACTAAAAAGACATTCTCTTGGTCTTTTGAGAATCGGTTTTGGTTTGACCATAAAAGGATAAAGTTGGAATTTTGTCCTTCTCGCTAGTGTTGTGGATCAATTACTAGAGCAAGAAATAGAATGTAAATCCTGGTTTAGGGTAAATTTGTACTGACAAGAAATAGAGTGTTGTGGATCAATCTTGATTCACTTTTGTCTAGTAACATTGCATTTATGCATTGACAAGTGACAAAAAAAAACATACTTTATTGGAATTCGTGTTTATATCAATTATTGTTAAAAATCTATTTGATAAAGAGGTAAATTTATTAATGCAAAACTAATCTAGTATTATAATTTATATGATTCTACATATTTGCATTCATACTTATTTGTGTCATTTTCAAACACAATCTTATTTGCATCTTCAGAAAGAAATATTCTAATATTTCATGAATGGAATCATGCTGAATATTTAGCAAATGTCTTACTGACATTGTTCAGCGATTTCTATGATTATCATGCTGAATACGGTGTGTAGGTGATTCCCCAGCGATGGTTGAAGTACCGGGACTTGAGAGGAAATTCATTATTGGAGATCTTGATCTAGGTTTTGATGGGCTTTGTTTGCTTGATATTTAGCAAAATGATCTGGGAAATCTCCTTTACATAGAACTGGAAAAAAAGATTGAATTGAGTAGATGGAATGCTATGGGATGGAATCATCATTATATCTCTTATTTTGAAATTTTGAAAATAACGGAACATTTCATTATTTACATCAATATTTAACAACGATCATGCCAAAGACTTGGGAATAATAAGGGATTCAACAAACAATAGGGGTAGTTTTAAGCAATTTCCTAAAACTTAGTCATAGTTTAAGAAATTTCCTCTATTTTATATTGTTATTTGGTTACAACTAAATATTATTAGGCACCGTAAGCAAAAAATAAAAAATAAAAACATTGTTTTCATTGCAAAAAACCATCAATATATTTTTTTCTCAGAAACGCCTTAAAAAAGCCATCTCTGCTACCAAACATCATCCTAAATCTACTACGGTTATTGGCTTGAAAACAATAATCTTCATCCATAAAAATCACAAGCACATGATGTATGTATTTGGTAGAGCTTCTATTTATTAATTAAATGTTTGTATTTAATTTATCTTCAAAATCAAGAAAAATAATAATATCAATCGTTTATGGTAAAAAGGCGTCACTAGATGTTATTAGGCATCAGACCAATGATTAAATGCCTAACCCTTAACACTTCCCCCAGAAGTAAACGTGCATATAAATCAAGGCCAGCTTTTATAAGTATTTATACATACAAATTATCACGATGGGCTAAATGCTAATTTTATAATGATATGATGATATTTTAATAAATAATAAGGAGCTATCATTAAAGCCTTCACAAAAAAAAAAAAAAAAAAAAAACAGAAAAGTACAGACAAGCCTATTACAGAATTCTGATTTCAATTACAAATTTACAATATTTCAAAAAGTCAATTACCTCCATCCTATACACCAATGCCCACATGTGAATTAGTATCAATTTCAAACTGGCACTTATCCAACTGTATTTTATGCCTATAAATTCTGACCCTGGGTTGAATCTTCATTCTCCCAAGACGTGAAACATGCCAAATCACGGGAATGGGTGTTTTGGTCAATAATTATTTTCATACCATATAAAAAATGAAATCCATTTTTTATGTGCCAAATAATAAAAGTTACGTAAAATATAGTCTTCTTTTATAAGTAGTTAGGTAAATAGTCTTTTAATTCGATCGCCAAGTGGTAAGGTAGCGAGCAATCCATCAATCCTAGTCCATCTATGGGATACGTTATTTCTCAATGAAAAACCGAACAAAAATTTTCGAGTCCAGCCAGCCGTTTCAACTTCAACTGCCCATTGTTATTGTGCCATGACTCAGCCCTACACACGTGGTCCCAAGACGTGGCGTGGCCCCCATTTACAACAGAGCATGATGAAACCCAGGCCCAGCCCAGCCCAGCCCAGCCGGCCGGACACTTCCGCAGTCTGTAACTCTGTACTACATTTGTGCAGTTCAGCTGAGGTGATTTGAGTAGGTAAATAAGCCATCTCAGTGCCCGTGGATTTGGCATTAACAACTGAATTGATCAATCGTCAACCGTTCAACATTAAGAAACGGAAGAACATACATATCCTATAACAGCATTCCTTAACGTGTGATATCTCATATTAATTGGTTTTAAACTTTAATACCGAACTCACGATTGTGACTGGGAGGTATATTATAGGCATACCATTTGTCATGTGTTTTGGAGAATTCACCCCTAAAAATTAACAGGGAGGAAACCCAAGTTATACATATACTTACCCACATTGAAAAAGAAAGACGATGTATATGATTGTATGAATAGAAGGCGAGAGAGATGAAGAGCCGAGAGCGAGCTTCAACACTGAGCGATGCAAAAGCTGTAACACTAGTGTTTAGTAATAACATCGTAGTACATGCAAAAGAAAGTTCAAAGAATTAAACTAACTAATCCAGAGAAGAATCGACGCTCTCAGAAAATGAGTGAACCTAAAAAGAAATTCGAATCCCAATTTTTCATAACCAAATTGTCCATCAATACAGAGCTCACCAATACATGGAGATTTTTGTCTCTCGACAGAAAGAAAAACAATGCCACTACGTACGCTAAAAGAATAGAACGAATTATCGTCTTTTCAACATCATCAGGTTCATCTCTAAATAGAAAAAATAATGATACGTATCCATGAAGTGAACATTGTAACCATCTCATACTCAGAGAAGTTCTCTCCTCGCGGCGTACCCGTACTGCGCTCGTCGGGTGTTATCCTGGCGTTTCTTGTAAACGAAAACAAATAAACCGACTATACAAGCGACAATGACGAGTCCGATGGCTATTCCGGCCTTGTGTCCAGCTTTCAATCCGCCAGAGGAGCCTTTGGACTCTGCAGCAGTGCTGGAGCTCACACCTTCGCTCTTGTGATTAACGTCGCTGGCGACGGACGGTGATGGAGCAGGAGACGGAGTGGGCGAAGAAACGGGAGCCTGATCTGATGGCGGAGGCGCGGGAGGAGAACTGACGTCCGGTGAAGGAGCCAGGATAGAAGGTGCAGATGAGGGAGCTTCGTTGGCGGGGGAAAGGGGTGGGGGAGAGGGAGCCAAGTTTTCGGTGTCAGGCGCAGGAGCCGGTGAGATCTGAGGAGGATCTACAGAAATGGTGAAACCAGCAAAAAGCAGAAGTAGAAGCACAGAGATAGAGAGCCGCACAAATCTCGCCATGGTCCAGGAACGAAGAAAGATGAAAGATCTGCTGGATGAACCACCTACCAATGCTGATAAAACTCCACAGAATGAAATGCGGCTTTTAAGGAATTGAATTGCAAAAGTACGGGAAGGAGAAGCAGAGAGAGATCTATGTTTATCAGTGTAAAAGACAGGGGGAAGGGAAAAGACAATACAGAAAGACAGCTCGGGAGACGAGAAAGAAACCCTAGTAGAGTAAAGAGGCCGCAATAACGAGGAGAAGGGAGTACAAGATTGAACGGATACGTCAAAATTCGAAAACCCCCAGTAACCTACCAGATCGGAACAATGTCTCGAAGGAGGAAAAAAGCGGAGCCAGAATGTGGATGAAAACACAACCCCTAGATCGAAGCAACTACAGATGTTAAATGAAACAAAATCGAGAAATCCGGAGACAAATGAGGAAGAGTGGGTATGGAAAAGAAATGGGAAAGAGGAATGGAAGCAAGTAATTGGGCTGCAGTCGCCAGTCGGGGACGGATTAGCTACTCCTCTCCAATTCACCTTGCTTCACTCACTCCAATTTGCTCTTTTGTTATAACATTCTCGTGAGTGAGGGAGACAGATAGAGAAGAGCCAGCTGGCAAATTGTCTAGATTCACAAGTCATTAGGAGGTTGATAGTCGGTTCACGGTTGCATCTTGCATACTATTCAGTTATTCCTTTTTCTCCCAAATGCTTGTTATATTACTTTTTTATTTTATTAAGCCGGAAGAGAGTCTTTCTCGTCATTGTGCGGCATTTACGCGTTTTAAAAAAATTTCACTTCTTTCAACGGTGATAACAAAGCCACGTCATCCATGCTTTAAGAATCTCAAGGCACCAGCCCAAACCCAATGCCACCGCTTGTTTGCGTCCCATTACCGTAGGCCCGTAGCCCATAATATTTAAATTATTGATGGGCTAATGAGCGGTTTGGACCTTAATACTTAACAGTGACATCACGCACTTCAGAGTTTAGCCCATGATTTACTTGTTTTAAATAAATCATGAATTCATCATGATCATGATTCATCCCTCGCCCACGCCCACCCCCACAAAAAAAAAAATAATAATAATAATAAATTCGTCTATGACGAGTCAGGATGTGGTCCAAACTCCAAACACAGGGTTCCCCAACAATCTTAGTTGGAACTTGGAAAAGAAAAACAAACCCCGAGTTCGGCTTCTATTTGGGCAAACTGGCAAAGTATATACGCGCAGCACGAGGACGCGCTATGTGTTCTTTGTCGCATGCGTATACTTCAAACGTGCGAGAGAGAGTAAATACCATTAATTTCATTCGTTTCATTCTCCTCTCTCGCCAGACTCCTCTCACTCTCATTCTCTCGCTACACCGAACCAAATCCTATTCACGCTCACTCTCTCCCTCTTCAACCGGTGGCGACCAAGAGCCAGTACCGGCAATTGTTAACAGCGGCGACCAACTGCAAGTACCGTTCTCCAAACTCCAAGTATTCGAGTTCGGCTTCAGTCCAGGCACACTTAGTCAGGGCACCGTTCGTGCATTCGGAGGACGCGCCACGCGTCTCCGAATCGTGTGAACGGCTAAAGCATGCGAGCGTTCACTTCCATGACTTGCCGGACGCGCCACGTCACACACACGAACTGGACTTTGGCACGGCAAAGGAGAAGAAATCGTTTGGTAAGGTGGGTCTTCTCCGCATTCCGACATTGAGGTGTTTATTCTACGAGATCTCGACTTGGGTCTTCCTGTATCGATCTCAACGATTTTAGGACTCTCTTCAAAGGTGTTAATTGCAGTCTCGATGGATGCCGATAGCCTCCGACTGTGAATGGACGCTGTGTGTTCGCTTCTGGTTTTGTCAAATATTTCCTGAAAATGACAACAATGGGAGAGTTGAGACGAAATGCTTACTAACAGAATAGAACCACTGTACAGCAATGCCAGATTTTCATTTCTCGCCCAGGATTAAGATTCTTACAATGGATTTACGCGGTGGATATCTGTGCTCTTTGTTGAGGAGAGCACGAGTTTTCTGGGCTCGGACGGTGGCCTGGGCTCTTATGAGAGCTTGCATACTGTGAAGAGTTGCAGTGGCTTGCTTACGCACCAGATAACCTCTAACAAGAGCCTGCAACTTTACTAGTCCCTTCAGAGCTCGAAGAGCCTTTTTTGCCTGAAACAGTTTGAACCGAAATAAACACATGAACTCAGAAGAAGAACAAGTTGAAAACAACCAATTTGCAAATACGGAATATGGAAGAAAAAACAGAAGCAAGCCAGCTGAAAAAGAATCAGAGAATTAGACCACTAAGCACAAGTGTTGTGCCAGATTAAGAATATGAAGAGCAGTCGAAAGTACTAGTATTAGTCGGGACCAAGTAAGGCAACGAAAACAAAACCAGAGACAGGGAAACTAATCAGACCAAATTTGAAAAAACTACCACAAACTCAGTTTCCAAGATAGAGAAGAAGGGAACGAAAAGATACAGATAAGACAAGAATCCGCTGATTTACAAAATCAAACAAAGAATATAAGGGATCCTAAATACGAAGAACAATTGCTAGGCTGCTAGCTACAGATTCAGTTAAGCATAAGAGAATCAGACGAAACAGGGAAAGATCGATATCCAGATGAGAAAGAAAGAAAGAAAACCGTAACAAACCTAGACGAAACAGGTAAAGATCAAAAGCACGCTTACCAAATATCCCCGGAAAACAGTCTGATCTTTATCGCGGCCCACTTTTCCCGCCCGCCACCAAACATTGTCCCTCTGCCCTGGCTTGTAAGCCTCACAACGGCCACTGCCGCCTGCGCAGCTGCAACGGCAGCATCAGCTGCGGCTGCCGTGGCCGCAGCCACCGCAATTGCGTGCTTGTTCTGCTCCTTCTCAGTCTCGGTGTAATAAGACCTCAACCAAGCAGCATCCCATGCTAGCCGGAATGCTAGACGAGATCTGACCCATTTCCCCCGAATCCCTCCCTGTTGGTGCCAAGAGTGAAGAAGATGAACTGCAGTCTCCCAAGAAGGGTGGCGAGGGAAATATAACAGAACCTCTGTTGGGTTCGGGAACAGAGGTTGTAAAAGAGAAAGCTGTGGGGTTCATTGAGGCATGGAAGATTCCTGAAGTTGCAAAGAAAATAATAACTGAGGTTGATCCCGTTGCCGGTGATGGTTGTAAAGTCGCCGCCGGGCGGATGAGAAGAGAGAGGAGGAAAGATGTCTCATCTGCGAGAACAGAAGAGAGGAGAGGAGAGGAGGGCGGATGGTTGTGAACGCTCGCATGCTTCAGCCGTTCACACGATTCGGAGACGCGTAGCGCGTCTTTCGAATGCGCGAACGGTGCCCTGACTAGTGCTTGGACCGAAGCCGAACTCAGTATTCATGCGCACGGATTCCCAAAAAGCCACTAACTTCTCTCTCCTCCTCAATTAGGGTTCTTCTTCTCCTTAATTCCTCTCTCAAGAGGCTTGTCTCTTCTCTCACAGCTCGCCACGTTGTTGATCTGATCACCCAGAACCTTTTCTCCCTCAACCCATCTTCCCTTCTCTCCTTCAAATGGATTTCTACTCAACAGGGTTTTCGCTATACCATCCAATCCTATTGTTCCATAGCCCATTACTTATGCAGGCATCGGATACTTTCAGACGCTCAATCACTGCTTCAGTTTGCTGTTTCTCGCAAGGGAAAGGACTCAGCATCATCCATTTTCGCATAAGTTCTTGAAACCGGATGTACCTATGAACCTAATTCGGTATTTAATGATCTGAATAATGCATGTACGGATTTTGGATTTATATCATATGCAATTCAATGTTTTAGGTTGGTTAGGAAGCATGGATTTCGGATTCCATTTCATTCTTGCGGGTACCTTCTTGATCGCTTGATGAAGTCCAATTCACCTGCAACAACTTGTGCGTTCTATTGAGAAATTTTGGATTGTGAATTTTCACTCAACAATTACACTTTTAATACTTAGATGCATACATTGTGTAGGGAGAGTAAAGTTAAAGAAACTGGGTTGATTATTGATGAAATTAGTAATAGGGGATTGAATCCGACTTTTGTTAGTTTTAATAATTTGATCAATCGTAACCGTAAAATGGGGGATTTGGATAAGGGAAGTGATGGTGCGCAATACGGCCGGTCCTAATTGTCAACGATCTATCCTCTGATTGGAGAAACAGGGGGGGCTGAAACGGAGAAGAAAGTGGAGAATCTCCGGGGAGGAACCCGGCAAGAGCACTCCGAAGCTCAAAACCAGATGGCGCAAAGTTCACATACCTTGTCCTCGGGGGGTGGATAGCCTTTTATAACCACCTCGCGCACTCACTTCGAGGCCTCTGTCAGGTCGGGTATGATTACTTCTGTGCTTCTGCCAGTTCGGGTGTCATCACCTCTGCTGGGACAGAACCGCCACT